GCTGATTACAAAAATAGTGCATACATTGCGTTATATATCCTTATTGCAAATGAGAGCAAGTTAATAATAGTAAGGACAAAATCACTGATTCAAGAATTATTGCATAAACTTTACCTACACGATGTCTCTGTCTGCTAGATGTTATACGTTTGGAAATGGATATGATTTCTGTAATCAGCATTTCAATCAACTCCAGTGGACAAATTCGACCCTGCATCATGTCGAAATCCTACAACAAGGCCTGAAGGATTACTATGCGATATAAGCCCGTGAGAAATGGCTATGATTCCATAATTATTAAAGTCAACTCTCCTACTAAATATTACTATTAGGCCAGTCGAAAAATAGTTTCGGTGTATGTGCGCTACCCATCCGCATTTGTTCGTCTTCCCAAGAGCTCGCAGTTGATTTTTCGATGGTGACATGTGTGCAGCTAAACTCTAGCCAGCTCTCGGTCATTTGAGTTGGATCAGTCTCAATTATTTCCCTTAATTCACGGTCATCTACAGCGTAAGGTTGTCCACTGCGTAAGACGTTATTTAAGGTCTTTGAAACCGTATAAACCAATTCTGGACCTGCCGTGCTTACGACTCCTCTACGAAAGCACTGCAAAAAGTTCGATGGGATTTCGCTGCACTCTTTCCCTGCATATCGTACAATATGCAGAAGCGAGAACGGAACCCTAGATAGATCACAATCCAAAAAAATCAAGTTGTCAGCTGAGCTTCTTAGCACTTTGAAAATATTATATTTCCAACTATTTCTAATTCAGTAGACCAAAATCTTTGAACAAACCAAGCCCATTATTTTGGAGAGGTACTTTTACTTTTGAATGACCTGCAATAGGCTACCGTAACATTCAATTTCTTAAACATTTCGGTCTTTGGAAAAAAAAGGGCGCGAACTTATATGGCAGCCCAATACTGCTGGAAGGTACTTCGTGTTTCGTACTTTGTCTGACTTGCAACCGTAGACCAAAACTATTTCTTTACTTATCTCTTGATTATGATGTTACTAACATTTTCTACTTTATAAGAACTATCCCCGATTTTGTTGAGAAAAAAAAATGGTCAATATGCATTGCTTATGATGTAAATCTACTGGAATGAACTTCTAACATCTTCTAGGAGGGCTAGC